CTTCCCTGAGTTCAAAGCATGATGGGAAACATGACCGTGCTCACATGTGCCTGAAAATCCCATGCCGTATACTGTCTGTTCTCTGTTGCTGTCAAAACTGGCCTCTGCAGGAACCTTCTGCCGACGGACAGAATTCAATGCCCGACCGGCATTATCTGAATGGCTAATAACCCCAACAGCAGCCGTGGAAATTATACAGGGCCGGTGGGTAATTTCCTCCAGCCGGTGGTACTCTTCAGGCATGCAGGAACCTGTCTAGGACTTTGGAAATTTTCAGAGAGACAGGGCAGTATAAACAGAGGCGGCAGTGGTATGGTACGGCTTTCCGGGCGAGCCAAATTTCGAGCATGCATCATTCGCGCATTCCCGAGGTGGAGGCTGTGGCATCTTTCTCCTTTTTTTGCATTCTTTCTATTAATTAATTAGAAATTCTGTAATAATTAATGTATTTTGTTATCGGACTGTATATTTATTTGTACCTCTGAGTGAGGGCAATTGTGTAATAAGTGTGCGTGAGTGGGTGCAATGTCTTCCAACCCCATGTCTTTCTTCCTTTTAATTTACCGTTTTGATGTAGATTAGGGCATCTTTAAATTAGCATACCTTATGCTAGGCAATGCGTGCATTCCATACATTTGTCTTGCATGCACCGGCTCGTACATCATTCTACTGCATTTTGTATTTCAATTCCAAATTGAATAGTGCATTAATTGGTTGATTTCACTGCCATGTTTAGGTTAGCCAGGCCTACTTCTAATTGATCTTGCATGTGTGCATTAGTCAATTTAACATGAACTAAGGATTCACGCATGTTTGCTAACCAGTTTTATTGTTTTGGCTTGGAGTACAATGTAAGTATTTATGCTTTTAGCATCTCGCATGCGTGTGAATGTTAACATGAATAGGCAACTTTACGACATGTGGGCCAGATCTTATGTGATAAACGTTCGAATGCCTGTGGGTGAAGGTTGGATTGTTGAGTGGAAAACCGTTGAAATCCGTATTTTAGCCACTTGCGAGTAGCAATCCAAAACATTTTCCAAAAAAACGATATGCAATGCTTATTTTCCAAATTAGGCATCCTAGCATATTTGTTTTGCTGTGCACCGCATAACATAGTATTCTAGCTAATAAAATGGAACAAGAAACACATAATGTTTTCAAAAACGATATCACGGTTAGTAGAGGACCGATCTTCGGATCGGGCGAGAGGGGTGCTTCATATGCTACCTTCCCAACTTCGTACCCTAGTTCCGGAGCCGAGACAACTCCGGTGATGACGGACTGTGCCTTCGACATCGAGTCAGGGTTTCTAAATTCCCCATAAATAATATTTAGGTTTGGCGACTCTGTATCTGACAAAGCAGTCATGTTTGGCACGTTCAATTTTTCTAAAAATCTGTTTTCTCAAAAACGATTGCCGGATTTGGACTCTTTGGTTTCGAGATTAAAATCGTGACACAAATCGAGTCCGACTGTACGCGGGGTCCCTCGCAGGCGCGTCTACAGTTTCTGGCGACTCCGCTGGGATTAGAGAGCTTGACTTCGAACTCCGTGATATCCTATTTTTGATTTCATTTATGTGTCTCTTTG